CGCTAACCGTATTGGACCAGCGTGGCGGCCTATGGCCTAAACCATGGCCTGAGAGAAGACCCGTGCCCAGCAGTGGGACGTATAAATGGGTTCATGATAATAATGATTCTATAATTTCATAGATTTCTCATAGATGGCGCTATGGCTAAAAAGTCGTGAACACCAAATACAAAAGATCCGACAAAACAAGCACATACAAAAATTCGTGAGGTCTGCTGGTTCGTTCCGTGGCTAAGTTGGTATAGCGTCTGGCACGGTTTGCTAGGAGAAGTCGGTTCGAATCCGGCCGGATCGAAGGAATATTTTCTAAGCGTTTGATGTATTAATGTATTAATAATTCAAACTAGTGGAGTGATTTCATAAAAAAATTTAAATAATACAAACACAAAAAATAAAAACCTATTAAATAGTAGGTACAGTAACACTTAGTTTTCTACACACACATTAAATCTCTCAAAATGAGTTGAAACTTATTTTATTTCAACAATAATTGAAAGTGATCGTAGTATAGGTTATAGTGATGCAACAATAATATCGACTTTGTAACGATAATAAATTAATAAAAGATTATCAATCTTGTTTTGTAAACTCGATATTCCAATTTCAGTGTCAGTTTATAATAGATAATATCTATATAATATAGATAATATTATGTTAATCTTCTTACGTTGAATAATGCGTGTAGATCACGCGGGTTCTATATGAAATTAAGAGGTGTTTATTTTTTGAACATGTTTCAGGCATTGGCGTCTTTTTAGTTTATTGTTTAAGATGTTTCAAAGTTTCAAATACATTTACTTAGTAATATATATATTTTTTGGTTATTTTTTTTAGTGGTTTGTTCTTTAATTTAAATTTAGGTTAATATTATTATTATTATTTGCAATAGCCGAATAAATGTTTCTTTCTTTCTTTCTTTCTACTTCGAATTAACGAAACTACATTACGTGTTGTATGTATTTCAAAATTTCGGGAAGTAGTTGAACATCAATATACCCTCTTAATAACTTAATAACTTCATGTTCTTAACACATTTTCAAAGGTCTTCGTAACAATATACTATCGAGTTCTTAGGTTATCGCGATTGTTACACATAGGTAAGAAATGAAACAATTGTTTTGGATTTAAATCGCGTATATTTGTTTTTCAAACACATCAACATTTCGGGCCCTTTACAGGTCCCATGGTCACAGTTATTAAATTAACAATATACTAAATAAAAATATCATCGAGAGGAACGCCGTGGGGCACTTTGCCCAGAAGGAAGTTTCCCCTTTGTTTCGCTAAAACAATTCTTGGAGAAAGTAGCTGCCAACTTTATGGTCTCCCGAGACTTCCACGAGCGTTCTGAAGCGAGGAATTTCGCCTGCAACTCCTAGGAACGCAGGTTCTCCAACGCAAAAAACACATTCTTGGCTAAAGTTGACATTTTGGAACCTTTTGTAATTCTAGACTGTTCTGGAGCGCCCGCCACGTATACTTACATAGACTTGAGAAGCAGGCCAGTGTCCTCACAGGTCACGTCCCACACTAGCTGTCTGCCCTCAATATATTATGTTTTAATGACATTGGGAAACCGTGATCGAGTAACTGGTACCATCGTTTAGAGCCGGCTGCATACTCAAATAAACTGCATTCGTTCCCGGCAATACCTGTTTTTGGAACGGGATCGTGACGTGATTTATAGCTTTGTCGCTAACTTACTCATGAATGTCGTCTTTGAAACATACTATTGAGTCAAAACGAGATTTCATCATCACCAACAACCCACATACGTCCACCTCCGATTGGTTCAATGCGAGTTGGGGACTTTGTTTTTCAAGATATACTTATTTTTATTATACTTAATTTTCTCCAACGTGCAAATTCCCCTTCACTACGATAATTTTGTAAGAAGAGAATATAACGGGGCGTAAATTCAATTTCTTTCGGGCTTCGAACTCAGGTTGACCGGTAAGACAATTTGCTCGGGTGAGGATTTTTTTTACTACTACTGTCGTGCTATCTGATGATAAGCTACACGCGCGTCCATAACAGTTGCAATGCCACTCACAGCTTTAAATCGCAAAGATATGAGGGACACTGCCACTGCGCCCGACGCCCTGAGACATATTGACAAGTCCGATGTGCCTGTAATATCATCGGCACCCTTACCCTTCAAAACCAGAACGCCGGTAAAGTGGCAATATTTCCCTGGACTCTTTCACAACTCCACTGCTATTAATTGGATTTGATTTTCGGATAGTTCTACCATTGTTTGTACAATTCAAACGATGTGTCACCTCTCATCGTGCCCTGCGCGCCCTAATACCTGCATGTTTGATGCACACTTACCTTTCAACACTGGAACGCAGTAATTCTCACATTACTGCTCGGCGGCAGAAATACTTAGATATAGTGCTAGTATTTCCCTGGATGAACTCTTTGACAAGGAGTTCGACTTCTACTAAATAATGTGGTAATTATATATCTAAAAAATACTGATGTGAATGGGGGATGGGAAAGAGGTATTTATTAAAGTAATATACTATTTTGTCGCAGACATTTTTACGCTTTGTTGTCTATTCAAGATGTCGTGATACTTTTATTAACAAACATGACCTTGCCAAAGTGGAGCGACGAGAACTCTGTTTCATGAATAATTAACATAATTTTCTCACGACGTGAAGATAATTTCGTTGAAATTGAATTTGTGGTTTAATGTACTTCACTGCTCCGCTTTTATACAAGATATTTTGTGTAAATGTCTCAATCGCTTTATTTATATCACGCACCTTAAATCTACTCATACCGCAGGAACAATAGAATTTGGACAAAATCATGCAAACTCTTTAATACAACTTAACATTATGTTTCAAATGATTATGAATGACATTTAATTTAAAATGTTTTACTTGTTTTTTATTTGTGCTTTAAAACGAATGTATATTTTTTGATTATCTCCAATTATAACTAGTTAACGACATTATATTTTAGTATTGAGTATCCCTTGTAATTTCTATTTTATATAAACTTATATAATGTCTACAATAGATAAATAATAAAATTGTATATAGCAACTTGTTTGAAAATTGTTTTTCCAATATAAAAAAACCATACCAAACCATAAAATACACCCAAACTCACGAGAGAAATAATGTGGGCCATACAAATATTTCTCCCGGCCTGGTAATCGAACCCAAGATCTCTGCGTGGCAGTCCAGCATGGTAACCGTTCGGCTACGGAGGCAGTTTAATAATAATAATAATATTGAACCACACAAACAGACAAAAGAGTAAACTAAGAAATTCTCTATGTTATGAGTCGAACGAAAGTATTACAACGAAATTATATAAAGTCTCCAGAACATCCAGACAAATTGGTTCTAGCGGGAATTTAGTCCGAGATCTCCCTAACAGGTCGTCAAATATATTAAAACCAAATATACGCTGAGGGTCGAGCTTTTCGAGTCCCGTACAGCGTCTTAATTTGTTTGTGGCAGGAGTGTGGAAATCGAACAGCTGTCCACCTTCATGAAGGATGATTTTTGGCCGAAGGATGTCGCATGAAGGATGTCATTTTCGAAGCCGGTTACCTAACACCAGATTGCGTCATACGTCGCCGACTAGTGCAATTAGTTGTTAACTAATTTTAATTAATAAATAAATAAAATTAGACTTTCGTTCATTCATTTAATTCATTGTCGCCCATGGACAGCCTTTGAGAGGGGTCTCTTTGAAAGGCTTACTCGCTTAGCAATATCCATTTGTACGGAATAAAAAACACATGTTCAGTGAGTGAGCTATTGTTTATTTTCTTTCTCTTTTGCTAACTTTTGTCTAGATTGTTATGTACAGTTTTTAAGATAAAATGCTCTAGCTCTAGATTTTTTATCTATTATTGCGTCAATAATATTTAGAAGTCTTTTAATTCATTTGGTTTTACTTTTTTACATTGAGTCAAGAGAAACTCTAGATCATCATGGCTTTTTCCACCCTCAATAATAAAGTGGCGCAATTAAAAAAAAAACATTTTTAAAACAATATCCCACCCTTGATGTAGCAAGGTCATATTTGTAAAATTACAACTTTTCAGAAGAGATGTTTAAAGATTCTACGAATGAAATTATTAGTATAACAGTTTATGTTTAAAAGTCTATACTAGTTCAGCTCGAATAATTTTTTTTCCGTACTAATATTTTAAGGCTTTATTTCAGAATTTATTTTTTTGACAAACGAAATTAAAGCCTTTTGAAAAGTGTATATCGTATACTATACGTGTATGTAAAGTACCTATTGAATACATAGATTTTCTTGTAAAATGAGTAAGAGAGAGGTAAGTTTGTTTTTCTTTTCTATCGTGAAAATTTTTAGAAATCGTATTTTCATACCGTATACTAATCGGTGTATATCCTCATTATATATTTTTTCCAAAGTGATTTATTTAACACTTTCACTGCTCTGCGGAATCAACAAAAGCCGTTGAGGTTGTCTAGACTCTTAGATAGAAGGGTTAAAAAATTTCACATTTACATTATGGTACATATTATTTTTATGATATTTATTTTTTTCTCGTATTTTTTTAAATAACATTCTCGAATCGCTTCCCCAGTCATTTCGTAAGTTCTTTTTTGTTAATTTTGTTGCTTATGATTACGATTTCATTACATTAAATGCTGTATATATAGATTTTAAGACTTTCGTGGTTATTCTCTAAATGATTATCACTAATATCAGGTTACTTACAACACACAGGTTTCTTATATCAAGACTAGGGTAAGTTGTTTTTTATGTGAAATAAAAATTTATCTGATTTAATAACAGTTAAATGGCCTATTTTGTAAATTTCAAAAAATTACTTTCAGAGTTTCGTCTATTTACTATCGAGGTCACCTTTTCAACTGTATCTATTTATATAAGTGACAGATAATTCTTGCTTGTCTTAACTAACTTTAGAACACTTTTGCAACTCATCATTAGTTAACAATTTCTAGAACGTTACTTTAAAATTGGCACTACGCAGACAACTTGATAAATTCTAATATTTCTTTACATTTTGTGCCTCTACATGTTATTTGTTCACGTTTTGTTATCAGACGAGTAACGCTGAGGCTAAATCATGTACGGAAACTACGATCACGTTTACCCCGCACTTACGCCGTAAAGGTATTGCACCAAACTTACCCCTAAAGGACAGTACCGTGTTAGCAAAAGTACCAGTATTGTTCCCTGGCACAAGTATTACGAAGCATTAGCTACCGATGGGGCTACATATAGCAGCCGTGCTAGGTTGCTGCGGGCGTATTTGCCTCGTAAAGGGGCGCCGTGTCCCGGTCTACCCCAGAGGGATTCCCAGGTCGCGTGGTGTTGCTTTACACTCTCGGCTGATACTCGACGACTTTCCTGCGTCAAAGTACAATTTTAATACATTATGCCGAACAGTACAGTAAGAGAAAGAGCTGTAGTGTGTAAGATCATATATAGTGACCGATAGAAAACGGGATGCCTCGATAATTTGGTTGTGTACAGAATTAGCGTTAGTAGTCTAAACATTATAAATGATAATGTTGAATGCTTTGACCTACTGGGTGATATTTCGTTTAGTCGTTCTATGAGACGCTATCACCGGTTTGTAGTTCCTTTAGCGAGGACTACCTAGCTTGGATAGTGTGCTGAGCAATTATGATCTGAATGTTGATATATTCAATTGTAATGTTGGTGCGCTAAAGTCTAAACTCACGGATACTCTATTTAATTTTATTGAATAATTTGTGATTAGCGCAGGTATTGGATAGTTTTTATGTAAGTGCATGTTGTTAAAAAATACTGTTTATTGTTTTCTTTTTTTTTTCTTTATTATTATTTTCCTGTTTTTATAATAATATTAATAAATAAATAATTAAGTAGATTGATGGCGCAAAATAGAGTGAGTGTGAATGGAAACTTGGGGAGACGTGAATTCGATCAAATTGGAGATGCCCTTAAAAAAGTCACGCTAAAGTGGCATGTCCAAAGTAAGTTAATTACATAGGAAATTAAATATTTTTTCAGATCTTAATTGTGTATATTTATTTTTTTCAAATAAACCAATGTTTCGGGCCTTTTCGCAGGTCTCGATGGTGTATTTGGTACCGGAGAGAAACGCTCTCGTGGAGGTGCCGGTTCGATTCTCAGCACAAGATAAAAAACAGTTTTAATTGTTATTTTTATATTTTTATCTTTTTTCATGATTCTATTATCTAATTGAACAGCAATATGTCTCCAAAAGTTACAAAAAATTGCATTAAATGCAACGAAAACATCTTGAACAGGCAATTCTTAGTTTGTGTACTGTGTGAACACTTAGACTGCACCAATGTGACATTCCAACGTTTCTCTATAATGACAACAGCTAATAAACATTCATACAGATGTGACCAATGTTGGTCTAAATTGGGAGTGTTCTCTAATTTAGATTGTTCACCAACACACGAAATGACTACAAATAAATCTCCAAAGGACCAAAATTATGTTACCCAGCGAAATAGATACAACGTTCAAACAAAAAACTCTTTTGAACTCTTGTCGGATGACGAAGCTGAGTACTCTTCATTGCCAGGAACGCCTATCATAACAAATAGAAGTTGCCCAGAGATGCGACCCATGGTCATGGCAGACCAAGATGGTAAAGTCATCCACGAGTTATGTCTAATATTTAAGCAAACCACCTTACTTTTTCATTATAGCTACAAAAGTTATTAAATAAATACCTATATTTTTTAATTTTCCAAAGAAACTTTCCAATTTACGCTACATATGTTTTATAAATTATTTTAACAATATAACGTTTTTAAAAATAAAATTTTACTATTAATTACTAATGGTAACTAGAATAAATGAAAACATATTAATCAGTACTGTAGTGTTATCATAGTCAGGAATATTGGATTCCCAACCGGTGGTACAGAGAAACCTAAATCTATGAGAGAAACTCTTCCCTGTTGAAATTAGAACAAGTATACGCGATTTAAATATGAAAATAATTCATTTCCTATCCTATCTTTTATGTCCTAGTGTAACAATTGCTATAACCTAACAACTCGATATGTAAATTACATTAAGACAGAAACCGAATGTCGTTTTTTTATAATATCAATTGACGGGACGAACAAGTCGTGCGCCTGATGGTAAGCGACACGACTGTCTGTAACAGTTACAATACAACTCAGAGCTTCAAATCGCAAAGATCTTGGGATCGCTGCCACTGCGCCCATCACCCTGAGACATAAGTTGACAAGCCCCATGTGTCGGCAGTTTCACCAGATACCCTTACCCTCCAAAACCAGAACACAGTAAGTAACTACCGCTTGACGTCAGAAATAAGTAAGGTGGCAGTGCTAAATAAAAATAAAAAGGTATAATAAATATTTAGGAATAATTAAAAATATTTCTTTACCTCTTTTCGATCGTATTTAACTTGTATCTGTCGTTTCAATTCCCGTAAATATTCAACGTGAAGAGATTCACGCCATCTGCAAAGAGTAATTTAACAAAATTTGATCATGTTGATTGTCACCATTTTAGTTATAAATGTTTAATGTTGCAGTGCCAACACCAATTATCTGATCTCAAAGTAGGGAATTTCCTGTATGGTAAATACCAAAACATCCATAACAGTACCAATTTAGAAAAGTTTATTTCACAATTTGGTTCCACCGGAAATCGAAACCGGGACCTATTCATCCAACACCCACGCTGGGCCACCGAGGTCATCGAAATAAAATTGTTAGTTCTCTGACCTATCGTGAATGATTTCATGATAAGATGTAATATCAACAACAAAAGATGACTTTGAAATATTAATTATTACCAAACGTGATGTCTGGCCCGTTATGCGTTCCACCGCTGAGCACGGGTCTCCTCACGAGTTGGAGACTACACACGTTTTCCGAGTGTTGTGAAACTTCTTCGACGTGCTTGTTCTTCACGATATTTTCCTTCACCGAAAAGCTCATGGTAAATTTTACACATAAATTCCGAGAGTTTCAGAGGTGCCCGGACTCGAATCCACAGCCACTGTTTGAGTTCGGTTTACTAAACTCAAGTTCATTTGTATGTAATAAACAGCGTTAAAAAAAGCTCTACAAGAACGCACTTTGTATCAAAGTGACCCTTGCTGTGTGGCTCTATTATACTCGGGCAGTCCAATCAGTCATACAATGTCACACCATATTGCGGTAATGAAATAATCAAAGACTTATTGTCATTGTCAACATGTCCCCAAAAAGATAATCAACTATCTAACAGACGACACGTGATAATCAAATCCGTACATCTCGTGTCATATGGGCGTCGTCTATAGAAAGTTGTGACGCAATCGGACAGACGACGGCCAACATGTCGATAACCTGTCATGGCCCCACTGGGCTAACATGGTGTAAGACATCTGCATTTAGGCTTTGGGGTATTAAGTAGCATAAAGTTTACCATGTAGTCAAAATGTTGGGACCCAATTTCGTCCATTCATGTTACGTCGCTTGGCAAATAACACGGCTTAAGTCGAAAATTGGCTGTTTGTACTTTTAAATGTCTAAATTAAAATTAAACCTTATCGTATATAAAAAGCAATTAAACAACTTATTGATTAATAAAATGTAGTTATAATGTCTGAATTATTGAATAACAAATCTATCCGAATTAATTTGTTTCTCTAACAATGTGAAGAAATAATAAACGACTAAAGAGAGGAAGATGTAATAGAAAAAGTAAAAAAGCAATATTTGACTGTTAGAATAAATTGCTAAAAGAAATAGTTATTTGTTATGCAAGGCTGCAAAGTTATTGTTTAACATGAGTGCTTGTATTGAAACCTGAGTAAGCGAAGGGTACTAAGATTATAATAATGATAAAAGAAATAAAATTCTGAGCGTAGCGAGGGTTTTAAGGCACGAGACGCGAAACAACTTTGCGGTCGAGCGAAACAGACAACTTTTCGCCTCACTATAGCGAGGAAAATCGTAGATGAAAGAAAAACAGTTGAACTAAAACAAAATAACTTAATGATCAAAATTAGTTATCGCTGTCAATTTAATGTCAACAATAATAAGAATAAAATATACCAACGGATATATCTATGTCGTACATTACATAAATAATGTACGACAAATCGCGTAGTTGAACGTGTCATTATGTTTTTTCATCGAAAGAAAAAGTTATGTGCTGCACTGTCTATGGTTAAGTTCGAATTTCAAAAACCTTTTCCACGCTAGCATGGAAAAAACGCTTACTTATTCTAATAAGTGCCTTATTTATGACCACCAAATAAAATTACGTTACTTATTTATGACGAGAGTTAATAAGTTTGTTGAGTTTTTTAACTCTCGTTTACATTGACTCGAAAGGACTTGAGCGGTGTTGTTTGCTAAATTAACTAGGAGCAGTAGAGTTCTTTGTGAAAGAAAGAATTAGAGGCACATGGGGCTCATGTCTCAGGGTAACGTGTCAGTGTTAGTGTCAATCAGATCTTTGCTATTTAAAGCTCAGAGCGGCACAGCAACTGACATGGACAGGCGTGTCGCTTATCACCAGGCGCATGACTTGTTCGTCCATCACTATTTTCAGTTTCACTGTAAGCGGCCTATGTCTGGAGGTTTAATTTCCATTTAAGTTAATGTAAATAAAGAGCTCGTCCAGGGAAGTACTGCCACCTTACCTATTTCTGCCGCCAAGCACTAATGTCAGCATTACCGCGTGAACTTACAGGCGCACGGCACTTGTCAACTTATATCTCAGGGTGACAGGCGTGGCACTGCAGCTGCTATGAACAGGCGTGTCACTTATCACCAAGCGCACGATGTTTTCGTCCCGTTACTTGGTATTATAAAAAAATACGACTTTAGCTTTCATCATCATTACACATCGTACTGCTCAAAAAATAGTGTTTAGGCAATAGACTTCACACTTTTTCTTTTGTTCTCTTAAGGTTGTGAACCTTCTCTGACACACATGTGTCATCACGATATTTATCTTCACCAGTAACGAAAGCTACTGCTACTGTAACTTAGAAATTAAAGTCGAAGGAACAAGCCGCCTCAGGGATAAAAAAACCTTCAACATCTCAGCCGATGGTTTTTTTGACTGGGTTACCACTGCTCCATCTGGTTTCTTATTTAGCCTTCACACTCTTGAATGTATCTTTTCCTTTGTCACGTTTCTTGAATAAACGTTTTAAATACTGAAAGGGAAGTACGAAATTACAACAATGGTTATTTGTTATGCAAGGCCCCAAAAGTTGTTGTAGAAACGCGAGTGCTTGTATTCCTGAGCGTAGCGAGGGTTTCGAGACACGAGACGCAAAACAACTTTGCTGCCGAGCAAAACACACAACCTTTCACCTCACTAAAGCGAGGAAAATGGTAGATGAAAGAAAAATAGTTAACATCAGTTTTTTTTTAATTAAAAGAAAAAGATATCTTCGGATGCGTTCTGAATTTACGCCTCATCAATTTTTATTCTGGCTTGTACTTTTATTTCGTGTGATTAAGTGATTATTGAAAATATTTAAGTTCTTCGACGAATTAAAATAATTTAATAAACACAAGTAGTTATCATTGCCAATATAATGTCAACAATAATAAGAATAAAATATACCAACGGATTTATATTACATAAATAAGTAATATACGACAAATCGCGTAGTTGAACGTGTCATTATCTCTTTTTTTTCATCGAAAGAAAAAGTTGGCTGGACCACAGTATTTCGTCAAGTTCAAATTCCAAAAACTTTTCTACAGCGCAGATTTCCAATGAGAAAGAAAGGCTTTCCGAGCTAATGCGAAAAAGATCTTTCTGTTTAGCTGTAGGTCATTGACTTACAAATAAATGGACGACGGGTCTAATACAAAAACCACAAAAAAAATGTCCCAAGTCAACCTATTTAAACGTAGTGACATATAAAGGAATATGAACAAGCTAAAACGTTGAATTTAAATTGTAATATCATCGCAGTACTGTCTAATTTTGCTTGCTTCGCTGTCAGTCGAACAAACGAAGACTAAAGCGTAAATGACGCTCTGTATACGATTTTAACGCCCTATAAGTTCAGACACTATAATTGTAAGTCAATGCTGTAGGTACAGTCCGTCAATGAATTTATGCTCGCCTAGTACGGAAAAGTAAAAAGTAATTATTATGATAACAAGTGACAGGACGAACAAGGCATTCGCCTGGTGATAGGCAATACACACGCCTGTCTATAACAGTCGTGAAAATCTCAGGGGCACTGCCTTTGTTTCCGTCACCCTGAGACATAAATGGACAAGTCCTATGTGCCCGTGATGTCACAAACACAATTTACCCTTCAAAACCGAAACGCAAAGTGCTCAGATTACTGTTGGCGGCAGAAATAGGTAAGGTAGCAGTATTTCCCTGGACAAACTTTTAATAACGAAGGTATCCAGCATCAAATAACTGACGCTTGATATGGTTTGGTGTTAATACACAGAATGTCAGCTTAAAAGATAACATAAGAAATTCTCCCTGGTGGACACCGGTCCTTGCACTCAACATTATACCAGCACAGATTTAAAGGCTCTAAAGGTATAAAAACGGTTTTTAAATTTGTTGAATCTACTAAATAAACTTTTACTTTTCATTTAGAAACTTTGTTCCTTTACGAAAGAAAAAAAAAGTAACTGTCCATGGAGCGGAAAGTTGTCGTTTAACGTTGACATTTTTTTTTACTCATCGAGTGTGGATTTTAACGTCATCGAGTGAAAATTATAGTATTGGCAACTCGCATCAGAGGGCAATAAAATATCCAAACAAAGGCGTTATTTAAGTATCCATTGTCATAGTTTTTATTGCGGGATATAAAAACGCCGTTCAAAGATATCATGAAGCAACTAAGCTTATGTATTACAAAACATAACGTAAAACTAATTTCGTCAGTAATGTGTTGAATAATAGCAAAATTTGACGTTATCATACTGGACTGCCACGCAGAGGTCCCGGGTTCGATTCCCGGGCCGGGAGAAATATTTGTATAGCCTACATTTATATCTCTTAAGTTTGGGTGTAATTTGTGGTTGTCTATGTGCGTGTTCATGTCACTCGCGATATAGAATTTGCGTAGTGCGGGGCTTAAAAAAATATAAACACATCTACACTTCACAGATCGCCATAGGTAGATTCCTATAGCAAACGGGCATTCGACGTTTTGTAGTGGTGGTAGTAAAATTTTCGTCTTTTTGGGATAGACTAAGGCGTCTCAGCCATACTAATAGATAATAGATTTTAATTTTTCATCAATAATTTAATTTAAAATTTAATTAAAAGCCGCGGTAGTCTTAAAGGTTTAACCTACCGCCTCTCAAACAGAAGCCGTTACTTCGAATCCAGGCTCTCACTTCTAAATTTATACGTGAAATTCAATTTTAAATTTACCATTTTCGATGATGATGACACCTGCACGTCGAAGAAACAAGGTTCACAACCCTAAGTCCCCAACCCGTATTGGGCCAGAGTGGCGGGCTGGGTTGGTGTTGTTGTTTTGATTCCTACAGACATAAAGGCGGGATGGTCTGACATTTTTTCAAGAGCCGATCTATTAGTAGCAGCTGCTAAATGTTCTAGAAGAGTTACAAATTTTCACATAATACTTAAGTTTGTATTATTTTCATAACTTTCATGTAATAAAAGTACTTTTGGCGTATGATCACGTGTGTCTTTATTATGTCAAGGTTATGAAATAATTATATAAAATAATCATTTAACTCTGCTCGTTGAACACATTTTACGTGCGTGTTAAAGAAAAAGAGTACTGCATTAATTAATAATAATATATTAATAATCATTTAATCTCTCCCATTCACATATAATTTTAAAAATACTTTCAAGTGAGAACTTAACGGGAGACTGGTCCCCAAACTAGGTAGACACCAGGTCTCCGACCCAGAATAATATTTAAATTAATTGAATAGCAGAGAAAAATTGTTGGTCCCAAAATGCTACCTTGAGGGATTCCACATGCTATGGCTGCTTCATTACTAATTTTTACACACTGCGTGCGATTTTGAAAAAAGTCATTCCGCAAGTACAATAAGAATAAGAAAGAAACACCGTGTCTGGAAGAAAATACAACGCCACATTTGTTTTAAAAACCTCGCTACATCTTTTGTAATGAACCCCAAATGAGAATAGAAACCCGTTTAAGACAACAAATGACAGGTGAAGATTTCACTAAACGGCATTTCTTCGCAAGCAGAAAGACAGGTGTCATAAAAATGTAACAAATTTGCATAAATGCAAATAAATTTTTATTGATTATGTGGTAGATAGAATTAATTACAAATCATTAATAGCATTTTCCAAATGATAGTTGAATTTGCTTGCTCATTCGTTGTTAATTAAGATGTTTTTGTCAATTACGAAGACAAGTTGTTATATGAAATCTTTTCATTTATTCTGAAGTTATCACTTAAGTTTGGATCTTGATACGTTACAATTATCACAAAAATGACAACAAATAGTTTGTAATAAATACGTCCCACTGCTTGGCACATGTCTCCTCTTAGGATGGATTTAGGGAATAGTCCACCACGCTGCCTAATGCGGATTGTGGACTTCACTTGTGGTTTTTTTTTTCAAAGTTTGTAAACCTTCTTCGACATGCAGCTGCGACATGATCTTCGCGATCAGACCTTCACAAATCGTTTAACGACTTTTTAAAAGTATTTATGTCCTGTTTTAATACTCAATTTTAAAATTTAAACTTAATCAGGACCAAACCTGAAATATTTTAAAACGGTCGCTAAAAACCTAAAACATATTCCCCTGAAAAATATACGAAATGTCGCTTACACCCTTTCTACAAAACACCGACGAAATACACTTAAATAATAAATTCATATTGTTTCTTTTTTTTTGTTTTAATAAATTGTAAATACTATGTTACTTGAAAGGAATTAATAAAAATAAATATATGAAGATGTTTTTTCGTCAGATTTGGTCAGTTCGATTTCCAGATAAAGCTACTTTTTAAAAGTCTTTCAATGTAGTGTTACTTACTTTTAAAAATAAAATAATGTATCCGTGAAGCAAAATATATTATTTACAACATATAAAATACTTTCCCTCCACGTTTAAGATTGGCAGTAAAAGTACCGAAATAACTTTTTCTCTACCATGAACCACTAACAATATCTCGTGTAATGATCCTATTTTCCGAATGTTTAGAGCTCATTATGAGTTTATCGTTATACTTATTTAAATACTTGTAAGGACAAGGTGAATACGTCGAATATTTAAAAATCGTATTGTTTCTTCAATGTCAGGTTGTTTCACCACCTTGATATTCAATTATTTTTTGTGAAATTACTCCACTAGTTTCTTATAATTAATAATACAAAGATCGAACGCTTAGAAAAAATCTTTCGAACCTGCTGAATTCGAACAACTATGCCAACTAAGTCACGGAACAAATCAGCGGACCTCACGAATTTATCTATGTGCTTGTTGCATATCTTTGTTTTGGTTTTTAACGACTTTTTTGCCGTAGCTCTGTAAGAAATCTATTTGTTCTTAATGTTTTTGTTTATATGCAACATGATTTTTTTCCTACGTATTTAAGCGCAATTTATTTATTTTGTTCAATAATCTGTTAACTTTTATTTACTTCGCAAATGCCGTGTGTGGCTATCATAGGAATGTAAATTTACTCATATTCCAATGCAAACTTCACAGTTTGTATTCTGTAGCTATGCCGCAAATAAATATATAAGATAACTGTCGCATAGCTGTGGGACACTCAATATATAGTCCTCCCTAATATGTACCTATCCTTTCTATATTTAATGACTCTATACACTAGTATATAGAACCATTAAATATAGTCCAAACATTTAGGAGAAACTGCGATGAAAAACTGAAAACCGCTCTCTTTTGATGTCGGTTTTAATAATCACATTCGCTATCAGGCGATCTATTCTAAAACCCAGAAAGGCGAATGCAATGACAAGACATGACGATCCTTTGTCGTAGAGCTCCTTAGCAAGACTCGATACGCCCACTACATCCTATGACATACAATGGCGTTTTATTTCGTAACATATTTCTACTTACTTACATAACAAAACGAGTTGAACACTTGCGAAAAATGTCCAAAGTGCTAAAGAATGCTTTTAATTGAAAGAGGTGTTGACTTGTGACCTCGGGTACAAATCTATTAAGCGATGCTTTGACATTTTTAATAAAACACGCGTAAAAAGCCCAAACTAAAGATAAATATTTCCACATGATTTGCGCAATAATAACAAACAATACTGTCGTTTTTAAACGCAGACTTTAAGGCCCTGACACGGCAGATACAGGTATCAATTTAAATATCCCCCAGAGGAACTAACTACAGAAGTACAGGGCAAACAAAATAAAACAAATGTTCTTGTTGCAAATAAAAGAAATTAGAGTCCAAATGTGACTTAACAATATTGACTTTGATATTTTTGCATACGTACTCGCAAGCTTGTTCCGGAGGCCTGGTGACATCGCTGGATGGTAGAGTCCTCGCTCCCACACGCCTCCTTCTTGCCAATAACGGAACCAACTCAATTCCTCCCGTCAACCGGAAGATTGTTGTCTCGGGCGTCAGTTTCTTATCTCCTATTGTTGCTGCGTCCCCATTGTTTACCGTTGTAAGCACGGGTTTTTTAATTTCTTCATCAGGAACTATACGTTTTAATCTCTCGCCGTTTGATAATCTTTTTACAAAATTGCCTTTTTTAGTTGCGCGTTTTTTGTTTTTTCCATTGTCCTTCAATTGTTCTACTTTTGGTGCTTCCTTTTTTTCGCCACTGAGTTTCCGTTTCTGTTCTTTACTAGCACTATTCGTCTGTTCGATATCAGGCAGCTTTTCTACACTGGAAGGTTTGATGTTTTCTTTGTCCTGTGTGATGTCGTCATTAGAATCGTCGTCTCTCTTTACTTTAGGCAAAGTAAGCGAAGATCTTTTGTAGTTTTTGTGTTCCCCTTTTATTTTGTCGAAAATTTCGTTGTCAGTCCAGCCCTGAAAAGATTCATTTTTATGTGTATGTTGAGATCATAAACTGAGGACAAACAGGTGTAGATTAACGGTCAAGTATAACGATCTCTAAAAGCTATAATTTACTGTTTGAATGAATCATGAAAGGATCAGTGATATAAAGTATTCATAAATAAAAGTTCAGCGCTAAATTTCGTATTTACCATAGACTTTGAGAAATTTAGTCCAATGTCTCGGGGGTTCCTCCACGTAGTGCCTCCAGGACCAGGCTTGCCCCATGGCCCCTCCAATGTTTGCTGAAAGCATGTGTAAAATATTCATACGCCAAAACGTACTCCTCTACTCGGTAAAGACACAAAGCCTTGAAAGAAGATAAGGGACCTGAAGAAGGAAGATAGGTTATGAGACTATTAGCTTCTTTGAACCTTGGCTATTTGCAAATGAGAAAAAGAATGTAGGCAAAGGTAATTTTCCTTACTATTTTTCGCTCATGCTCGCGATCTTTTTTCATTTCAGCTTTTATAGCTTTGTTTTTCCGAGTCACCATGTCATCTGAGAAAAAGTAAATAATAATTATTTCTTATATGATTTAGGCACATCGTGTGCTGGTCTTTGATCTTACCCAATATCTCCTTGTAGCATTTCTGCTGATCAGGTGTCTGCCTGTAACGCACGTCATTATCGACGCTCTTGCGCAAGGTGTCAGTGTAGAGTGTTTGCGGGTCCTCGCGCAGGCGCAGCGGCGTACGTCGACGTCGGTGTGGTGACGGCAATCGACGGCAAGCTTCGTATAGATTTATACCCTAGACACATCATATAATTTTAGTTTTTTACATATTCAACTACTGGATTAAAGAAAGTTGCGTAGATTAGCGTGCACCCTAGAAGATAATGCTAAAATTATCAACTTATAATTCTATTTTGTATGTAAGTTCACAAAGTTCCTATACCTACTTAAATATATAAAATGCACGCAAGTAGATACAATACGTCACTCACACATACACGTGAAACATCCATGTAAATATAAGTAATTCATTTATTAATATTCATTTAGTAATTCATTAAAAAAATTAAGAAACATGTATTATTGATTTGTTTTATTTTATGAAATAACTCCAATTCTGCTATGCTTGCATAAAGAAAAATTCCTTCGATCGAAGAACATCAAACGAACAAAATTAAGTATTTACTTAAATATTTACATAGTATTTTGAACCTTATAAAACGGCAACAATAGGACTTATTACCGCAATTACTATACACGGGGTGATCACATTACTGCTGCAGTTAATAAACAGGAAACGTATTGCTGCAGTAGAGCTGCATGTGAAAGAATTCGTCCAGGGAAGATCTGCCACTTTATCTATTTTTCCGCCAAGCAGTAATGTGAGTATTACTGCGTTTCGGATTGGAAGGGTGCTGGTGAAATTACGGACGCATGGGACTTGTCAACTTTTGACGACTGGCGCATTGGCAGTGCCCCTGATATCTTTGCGATTAAAGCTCTAAGTAGCACAGCAACAGTTATGGATAGACGTGTGGCTTACCACCATGCATTTTATTTGTTCATACATAACATGTAATGTATACTCAAACCTTTTTCCCAGAGGTTAACAGTGACTATCAATTGCTAAGCCCCACTATTCATCTCACTTACGCACTAAAGCCTTTTTAAGAAAATACTCAATTTCACCCGATAACGTCCTTCTTGTCGTCTCACAAAGTTGCCTCCCACATTGCCGCTATAGGTATATCTTTTATGAATAAAGAGTAAAAATAATGAACACACTCAATAATGTTGTGTACGATTATGATAAAAGTCATATCCGGTAAGCTGATGGGTAATTTTTTTGCACACACGCGTTGCGTCACACCGCACGGTGTGGTCCCGCGTTAACGGCGCATTAAGAACATATTGAATGATTGCTTTAATTATTAAAATGTAATACATTGATATATTGACTTTTTGCTTTGACTTATTGCTTATTGCTTATTACACATTTAAGATGTGAGGCGTTATAAAAAAAGCCAAAAAAGAGGTTAAAACCTGCTGTAATTAAGACACAACATGTGACAACATAGTCGATAACGATTTTTTTACAGTTGTCGAAACAGGTTTGAAACACTTCGTTTTGTTAAAGGTAATGTAACCACTACACCATTAACTCAGTTTTTTACTTATTAATATTAATCCCTCTGCTCGGCACACTCCTCTCACAGTGGGAGAGTTGTAGCTGTAGTTCCCATGCAGGCCAAACGCGACTTGGAAACTTCAAACACGTCATTATTATTCTTCACGACGTTGTCCTTGACTGAAAACCCCATTGTAAATAATTATTAAAACAAAGATCGAACACATAGAAAAAATTCACTTCGCTATGCCAACTAAGCCACGGAACGAACCAACAGACCTAACGAATTTTTCCGTGTATTTTATTGCAGGTCTTTGTTTTCTGTTTTTTTTTAATGACTTTTTGCCGTAACACCATTTGTGAGAAATCTATGAAAGATTTTCTTCACTCAGGGAGGTTCCTTTACAGCTACCAGCCGCTGATTAGGTTTTTCATTGCATGTCAGGAAGTTTGACCACCATGATATCCAATTATAATTTTTCTGTGAAATTACTCGACTAGTTTGTTATAACTATTAAATAAAGATCGAACACTAGAATGGTAAGGAGAGAATGGTAAATTTCAAATAAAATTTCACTCAAAAATTCCAGAAATCTCGGACGTGGAAGGCCGAATTCGAACCCATGCCCTCTGCTTGAGTGACGGCAGGTCAAACCATTAGGCGGCTACGACTTTTTAGTGCATGTTTGTAAATAGATACCATAAAAATTAAACGATATTTTTTTTCAATTTAAATCGCGAAAGCATAGCACGTAATTAGACGATTATTTATTTATAAACTCGATAGATAATATGACTTAATTCGTTTGTATCCCTAATGTTTGACCGGATACGGTGAAACTATTTTTTTTTGTTTTATAATATCAAGTGACGGGACGAACACCTGATGGTAAGCTACACGCCTGTCCATGACAGCTGCAGTGCCACTCAGCTCTTTAAACCACAAAGATCTGAGGCGCACTGCCACTGCGCCCGTCGCCATGAGATATACGTTGACAAGTCCCATGTGCCTGTAATTTCACCAGCACCCTTACCCTTCAAAACCGGAACACAGTAATGCTGATATTACTGCTTGGCGGCACAAATAGATAAGGTGGCAGTACTTCCCTGGTCAAACTCTTTCACAAGAAGGTCTACTGCTACTATACTTAGTTTATTACTGTCAAATTCTATTTATCCTGTGTTCGCACATTAAAATCTGTAAAATTCCAGCCCGTGCTTATTACACCATGTACCTACTCGTACTGACATTATCACATAATTATTTGCCCAATGAAATCCAATCTTTGAAACAGATAAAGGACTCACCACACTAATCGCTTCCGCTCAGATCGTTGACGCGAAACGTATAACTCTTATCGAATGGATACATTGACCTACCAACAAATAGAGTCGGGCCTAATACAAAAACCACGAAAAAAATGTCCGAAGTTAACCTATACAAACGTAGTGACATGTAACGAAATATAAAAAACTAAAACATTTAATTTGTAACGTCATTGCAGTAGTGCCTAATTTTGCTTGCAACAATTTAAGGGCCCAAAAACACCATATTCAGCTTCTACTGGAAATTTAACAAAATGCACCATATTTAGCTTCGACTGAAAATTACTTGAACATAAGAGTAATGGAGTAAAGTAGCCTTTGTCGTAAATATTAATTAATTTTTATATATATTATTATGTCGAATTTTGTACAAATTCACTTAGAGAAATAATAAAGAGTTGAGCCATACATACATACACATATTACTGTAAATGTGAAAATAAGCGTGTACTATAAGAAATGTACCGATATTCCAGTTAAACGTAAACTCAAATATTCGTTATTCCGAAAACCGATTTATAATAAAACAAACGATAAAAAAAAGTCCACGACACAGTCATGATATGGGAACAGGCTAAAAGCGGCAGTCATCCAACGATAAATAAAACGTTACGAAATAATGGGAACGCACCCTAATGACTTCTTAAATAATACATCTGGACAGATGTGAAAAACAAGTTCGAAATTAAATTTTTACGGTAAGCCTTAACAATGTACTTTTGCGAATCTCCCTGTGATTTGTTCAGCCGACAATATCAGCCAGTGACGTTATCGCAAATTATACTCCATAATAAGTTATTGAGTGAATATTCTCGTTTCTCATCGTAATAAGTTACGACGAGAAACGCGTAAATAAAAACGAATTTTATACGAATATTTCGAGAAAGTTGGCCATCACGAATGAATATATGAATTACTTATCACTTGACATCGTCAGGACATAAATAACAGGGTCATGAATTTTGTTCTCTTCTGTTTATCATTTTTAAGTGTACGGAGGTATGCGATTGTCCCACCCACACACAAACACAAACATAACAAACATACACACGCACGCAAAATGTCGAAATAGTTAAAGTTAAAAATGACAAGAAGTCCAAAGAGTGTAGGAGAAATTATTATTATTTGACATGATAAACCATAGACAATTAAACTTTAAAGCTTATTAATTAGGTTTACTTATTTCATTTCGTAAATCTGTGTTAATTATTATGCACACGCCATATACATATTGTATACCTATTAACGATTTGAATGACAACGTCGAATCCAGGCAAACTTTGTACTTATTTTTTGTGGTGTATTTCGGACGTTAGGTAAAGACCTACACTCTATACACTTGTAACAAATGCAATAGATACCGGAGATAACAATCTACTAAAAGTCCGAAATATGTTTCCAGATTGGTTCCGTGTAGCCGTTCTCAAAAGGACGTAATCCGTTAGCAAGCATGTTGGATTTGGGTCCTATTGGAGCTTTTGGAGAGGTATTTGTAAAAATATTTGTAAATATTCAAGAAAGATGTGTTTGTTTTTGAAGATTTTTTAATAGAGAGACAAAGTCATACAGATGTCATACAAAAGAAAAAGGAAGCTTTTAAAATTCGAAAAATATATACATTAAGAATAATTTTCAGTAGCCAGTACTTACTACACAAAAAAAGTACTTACAACAAAGCATGATCTTTTTTTATGATATTTTACAATTAGGCGCCACCGCACGAGTTGGGATGGGAGAGCTGAAGGTTTTTAACCTGCATAAAAATTTAAATAGCGGGCCTGCGGGCACCCAATTTTTTTTATTATACCAAGTGACGGACAGTAAGCGACATACCTGTCCATAACAGTTGCAGTGCTGCTTAGAGCTTTCAATCGCAAAGAGCTGAGGGACATCCCCACAGCGCCCGTCCCCCTGCGACATAAGTTGACTTCAAAACCGAAACGCAGTAATGCTCACATTACTGCTAGGCGTCAGAAATAAGTAAGGTGACAGTACTTCCCTGGATGAACTCTTTCATAAAGAGCTCGACCGCTACTAAAGGTGGACACGGACCTCGACTCAGGATGGTATAGTACACTTCTACCAGAATGGCTTGAAGGGAAAATCTTGACATCGTGATTCAATATTTGCATAAAATCAATCAATGCCATCTAGGTGATTTTGATGGAACCTCAAATTGTTCATTGATGGTTATGGCATGGTTATGGCAATCTATTAATTGCATAAAGTACGTTTGTTACTGATATGTATATCAAAAAAATAAATGTTTTTTACAAATTTAAAACGAATCTTCTAAGTATAATACCTTGGCAATGTTTTGCCATAAAACCACTACAATCGCTTATAACATTATAGAATCTATTAAACCGTCAAAAGATAACATAATCCGAAATAACGACAAAAGCAATTTCCTACGAAGCTATTCCGAATTATAGATTAACAAAGGTCACGAAAGAAATTCTTGTATTATTATGAATGTCAGTCAGTCATCGTGTAATTTCCTCGTCTCGAATATTTAATTTAGTAGTCTAATTTTGTTCAAGGGAAGTTATAAAAACGTATATATTATAAATTCTAAATTACTTCATGTTGAATGAAAATTTATATAACGACCCACCTGTCCGTAACAGTTGCAGTGCCACTCAGATCTTTAAATCGCAAAGATCAGAAGGGCACTGCCACTGCACTCGTCACCCGGAGACATATTTAAGGTGATAAATCCCACGTTCCCGTAATTTCACCAGCACCCTTATCCCTCAAAACCGCCTTTATAAAATGACGTGTAATCCAATGACCTAGGCATTTTTCTTAGATTTTCGTAATAAAATTATACAGCTGTAGATTACTCATTGGATATTTGCACGCTATTGTATGTTGTCGATAAAAAAATCTAGCTTTTTTTACAACTGCTATGGGCAACGACGCCATGTTTTTTTTAAATAAATAGAAAGATAAAACGTTCATTGGTCTTGCATCACACACACAACAATACAATAGAGTAAATTGATTAAAAGAGACACACAGAAATGAAAATTAAAGAAAATAAAGCAAAAACAAACAGCATTAATAAATAAAAAACATAATTCTAACCTAATGATCAACAGCTTGTGTGCGCTATAGCAAACCAAATAGGTCGTGCCTCAGTGCAAAATTTGTCCAACAAGAAAGCACTGATTTTCAGCCACCACCTTCGAGGGTAGCGCGTTGCGGTGCATCAAAAGCAAAAACATTGTGAAGTAAAAGTAGTGTGCATATGTGTTAGTATCAAGTGAGTATAATGTAGATTATAAAAATATTTAAAAAAAATAGTAACTGAAAAAAATAAATCACCATGGAAATTGATGTGTTCGTGGAAATCTCCAATTAAAAGGCGGCAACGACAATTAATTGTTCAATAAAACACAGGGCAAGGTGATTGAATTGCATAAAAGCAAAATAAATGTTACCACTGACACATGCAATCTTGTCGCCTACACGATTTTATCGGTGAAGAATAATAGCGTAATTAATATAACAATTTAGTTGACAGCGCTTTCCTGGCTGTGATGTCTATTACAGAACCACGCGTTAACGTGAAAGATGTATTCGATTGCCCGCTTGCGTCAACATCGTCGATGATTATCACATATGTATCGACCCCCTGACTTAGAAGTCATAGGGCAATTTTTTTTAGGGTAACGCATTCTCGGTACGATTTACTGGTTCGTTCCGTGGCTTAGTTGGTATAGCATCTGGCACGGTATGCTAGAAGACGTCGGTTCGAATCCGGCCGGATCGAAGGAATGTTTTCTGAGTGTGCGATCTTGTATTTATATAATGTTATTTTGATAGTGCCTATAATTTTTCTTTATTATTAGTTTATATACAATTTAATACTTTTGTTTATTTCACTTTTCTACATTGACATTGATGGTACTTAATTGACCGCACTTTTAGAATGAAAGTGACCCAACACAAAATTTCAATTTTTTGGGAATACACAAATTAAGTTTTAAAGTTGTGACGTTTTCACATAATTTAATTTATTTACTCTTTGAAGTACTGAAGGCATTGGTGCAAATATAAATACCTTGTTAGTCCTAGAAAATAATGATGAAACACGTTTATAACCTCATTAATTATTCATTTTTTTATTTAACAATTTAAAAATATAATTTGCAAAAACTAGTCGCTATAATAAAAATGGAAGTAATGTCGTTGACTACAACAATACAACAGCCCCTGAGCATGCCTCGTGGAGAGGCGAAACACGTGTCGGGTTTTTGGTGATGGTTTGTGACTGTAGTTGCGCTTGTGTTATTTATTTTATTAATTTTATGCGGAGGGAGGGTGGCATAATTAACTGCATGAAAAAATATTCAACCCAAGCGCAGCTATTTTGCACGATTTAACCTTCACTGGGTTCGCGGAGTACCAAATTAATTTACTTCCATTTTTATTAACATGGACTTCCGCAAAGTAACGCCTGAATCTACTAATTACTTAGTCGATATAAGATCACTTTTTTCTTGATCGCTTTTGTTGTCAATTGACCAAATAAAACTTAAATCTCTTTGATATTCACCAGTTAAGCAAGATATGACCTTATCAAGATTACGCCGTTTTAATTGTGAAACAAAGTCCGCTAAGTAATAAAGAGGGACGATGTTAGTCCTGAGTTGATTTCATTGGAAAGAGTTTTGTAACTGACAGTATACATTTTAAACAATAACTTGCGTGTCAGCAGCAATATATTCCGGATGAAAAACAAATTTTATTTCGTATGTTTTTCTTAACTTGTCTTTTGTTAGTTTCACGAGTATTTTAATTTTAAACTTTCGCCACTTTATTATTGACGTACGATTGGTGCTCTTAATATTATTAATTAATATCATAGTTAAAACGTAAAACAATGTCATGGTGCCAATAACGCGTATTTGTTACGTTGTACATAGTATATACTTAGAATAATAACGCATAGAAACCTAGCCCGCACACGCTAAGTGAGGCAAATTGAAGCGCGCCAAAAGGGCCTACACGAGCGGGCGGGCCTTCAGTGCTCAAGGTCAACTTGCACCGCGAACAGCTCAAGAATTTTAGCTAAAAATTACGAAATGTGCGGTAAATGAGTGTAAAAATACGTCAGACAAACATAAAATAGATACTAACATCACATTCCACAAGGAAGTAACGCGTTTCAACTTGTATTTTTATATAAATATTCACTAAAACCGAAAATTAACCTACTACTAAAACTAGCCCACATGAATTTGATTTTTGCCTCACTTGTGACAGTTCGTTTGATATGAAACTATCATTCTATGCGTTATTATTCTAAGAGTATATACATGTAGAAATAAAATAACAATGACATGAATTCTAAGTAGATATTAAACTCAAACTCAAATTCAAACAATCATTATTTCATAGGTAGGCAAATTACACTAGAAATCGTCATACTGATTAAACTCTACTCTCTCTGCTCATTCGTAACGCAGATTCCCCTGAGAAGAATGAATAAGAAACTCTAAAGGTCTTAGTAAAAATACATTTGAATATATTTATCATTCACACTATTTATTTCAAACATCTTCGAGACTACACTAACTACACGTGTCGCTATCACAGATTTTTGTCATCCAAGCACTCACAAGCTGTATAATAAATAACCTTTAGTATAAAGATTTCGTTTCAATGAAATTTAGATTTAGATGTTTAGGAGATTAGATAAATAGAATGCACATCTCTTGTTTAAAATTTAGAATTTTCTAAGAACATTTGCACCAGCCTATTTTATACAAGAGTAACTTGGTGGTGGAATTTAGAAAGTACATACCCTCAATTCATCTTCAGGGTAGATCCCTGAAGCGCGCAGGTTGGAGTAGCGGACGCCACGTGGGTTCGGAGCGCCACCTCCCGCGCGGCCCCAAGGCTCGTATGACGCTAGTTGTTCGCGAGCCTATAAATAAAAAACCTATATATCCAGGACCAAGAACGAAAGATGTACTAAATGACGGTATCCCATTGAGTATTTTCCGAGATCGATGACACTAAGTAACGGAACGAACAAGTCGTGCGCCTGGTGTTCAGCGACGCGCCTGTCCATGGCAGTTGTAATGCCACTTAGAGCTTTAAATTGCAAAGATCAGGGAAATTATCCACAGGATCACTCATGTTCCACTTTTCAAATATCGCTAAGATAATTAGATAAATTATATTATAATACAATTGCATCGTATATTTATTTACTTAAGTACCTACGTTTGGGAAGTTTAATTGTCTCTAAATTCTTTACAATGAAAAAAAATACAAGCTTACACAACAATCATTCCTTTTATTTAGTCAGACAGCGTTTGTCATGTGATTCTGTTTTCGGAAAGTGAACAATGATTACTTGATTATAAACGAAATTCACACATGAATAAAGCATTTAATATTGAACGGCTATTGTATGTAACATACTCCAAAAGCGAATAATTGAATTTGGCAACATTTCTTAATCGAAGGAATACATGCTGTGTGGAACTAACGTGTTTGCACGAAAATGTCATCTTCACGCTCTCCAAAAGGGTTTTTACGCTAGATATTTATTTTAGGCAACAATGTACGAATGAGAGACGGCCTTTTCCTGCTTAGAAAAGCCGCTTAAATAGAAATTATGCGTGTTCGTATTGGCTTTCACCGTCGCATTAAGAAAATACACAATTGGCCGTTCATTCTATTGACAGGAGCTTTCTCGGGTTGCGCAATTTCGCCATAAGACAAAATATTTGCTTCGTGTTTTATTCTAGGACTTGCATTCCTAGAATAAAACAATTGTTTTTTTGCAGTAAGTAAATTGTTTCTTTAAAACCCGACCGCGCAACTTGGGAAACCTGCTCGACTAAAGCGACGAGTTGTTTTATAAAACTGTTGTTAAACAAAAACACGTTATAATATTATTTGTACATCCTTGGTTACCTCTTACTGTAATGCCTAAATACCTATCTAGATTGTCTAGGCAAGATACGAGTTTGGCAGAATTAGTAGATAAATACAGCTTTCCCTGGACTACAAGATTTATTTTACTAGTTTAGTTTCGCCTGTTACGTTGGCAACGTGGGGTTACGTTAACAAAAGTTTAGTTACGCTTATTCATACTTCAAAGTACGTCTTTCCTTTGGTCGTTAGTCGATAGTTAAGTAAGGTAAGTATGTAGTAAGTTTCGTCTCGGTCTAACGGTGTCATGTTTGGTGGTAAACATTAGGGATGTTTGGAATGATGATGGGTGGTGGGCGCCATGCAAATGTACTAAGTCTGTCTTTTTTTAAGATGAAGTAAAACTACAGCTCGTTGCGCTAAAGTGATTGCAATCAATAAATATTCTATCGATTATCGACTGTATGTTGGTCACGCTTATGCAATAAATGGCTGAACTTATTTAATTTGAACCATTATCAGCCTATTTTTCGTCCAACTGCAACGTGTACCCACGTTCATTTGATTTTTTTAAATTAAACGAATTGTCAATTTTTGTAAATTCATACATACACTGCATTTAGATCCATGTCTATTAAAAATATAAAGAGACATATTTAAAACTTTTTCATTTTAATTCAATATAAATAATGAAACCTGTTCTTGTTTAAATGTTTATGAACAAAAATTGATTTCGATCCTAGTAGGTCAACTGTCAAAATAACAATGAAGAAGATAATAACGCAATGAGTTATCTTTAGAACGTTGTAACACTCACAATTCCATCATTTTTGGCAAAATTTTACCTTCTTTCACCTATCTATAAAACTATCGACAACAGCTACACGACTATTTAAAAATTGTTGAAAACTGGCAACCCTTCAAATGCCATTTTACTCCATCTTCAAAAAAGACAGACTAGCGCTAGCTAAGGCTTCCAAATTATTTAATAATAATAATAACGCACACACTCAACATAGCCACGCACACTGTGTCGAGGGTGCCATGGACATACACATAGACAACCACAAATTACACCCAAACTCACGAGAACAATAAACGTGGGCCATACAAATATTTCCTCCTCGCCCGGGAATCGAACCTGGGGCCTCTGCGTGTGGGACCCCAGCATGGTAACCGTTCGACCACGGAGGCAGTTAATTTATAGTTTCCAATTGTGTTACATTATCATGACTTATGATTTGCGTTCACATGCTGGAGTATGGTTATTTGATGGAAATACTGACGACTCTCTGCTGCTCCATCTTCTCGAACATGCGCTTCTCGACGCGCTGCCGGGCGAGCCGCTCGCCCTCGAGGCGTGTCTGCTCAGCGCGCCGGCGCTCGCGGGCGCGCCTCCGCGCAGACCCCGACGTGGGAACGCTGAGCCTTCTGCAGTGCAAGGGTTGCTATTAACTTAACCTATTTCCTTTATAGAGGGAAATTCAATAACACTCTTGTTTCCGTTGGGGGAGAAAGGTTCTCGAATGGAGACCACGAACCGGAAGGCATTCAGTGGGACGTCCCCCTACTAGATGGACGGATGACCTGGTAAGAGCGGCGGGTAGCCGATGGATGCACGTCGCGTCCGATCGGCTAGTCTGGAAATCTTTGGGGGAGACCTATGTGGACGTCTTCCGGCTGATATGATGATGACCCTTGTTTCTCTTTGATTATGATAACTAAGTGATATCGAATTCTTAGGTTTTCGCGATTGTTACACATAGGAAATGAAACCATTTTTTAACGGACTTGGAAAAAGGAGGTTTTCAATTCCGTTGAATATTTTTTTTGTATGTAATGTAATTAAACCGATTCATATGGTTATTTTTCTGTTGGAAGGAGGGTACCTCAGTATTGGTTCCATTTAAATTTGAAGAAAATTTCCCACCTCTAAGTGTGGCAAATTCGGGGATGAATTCGGTTCCGTGCACTTTCCGTAACCGATTGCAACAAAATTCGGCAAATAGATGTAATTTCACGAATTTTTGAGGTCGGTTTTTTAATAAAAAGTTATAATTATTCGGATGCTAACTTGCATTAATATTAGATCTAACTGGTTGATGACTTTACCATGTCAGTCAGTCGTGACTACGGGACCAGTAAAGGGCTCGAAACGTTGGTTTGTTTAAAAAAAAACAAATATACGCGATATAGCTCCAATAGTTTCATTTCCTGTGTATAACTAAGCGAATTTAATATTTTAGTTTGCTAACAGATTGACTGCATGCTTGCAGTTAATGCGTGCAGTGGATCTCGGCTGCATGAAGTTGGTTTCGACTGCTTGCAGTTAATGCGTGAAGCATAATGCGTAGTCTCATAAGGGTACAATCTACACCCACGTTTTTACACCTTACATAATTAGAAAGTAGTAAAGCAGTCAAAAACCTTACCTGCGCAGCCGCCGCGAGTGTAAAGCAAACATTTCTAATAGTTTTCACTTGTCCTTGCTCGAGCTCATAACACTTTACTAACCAACAAGTGGTAAATTCTAATAAATACCATAGGTAATATCATAATTATCTTGAATAACATCTTTATATGGTAACTGTAGTACGTACCAGTGGAGCGTTAATTTTATTGTATGTTTTCTTTACAAGGTAAGAAATTAACAAAAAATCTACAAGTTTTATGATTCAGCTCAATCTATCACACAGTCATAAAAACCAATTAGAAATAGATCAAAAGCTTTATCAGATTTGATTGAAAACTTTAAGCCTACAACAGTGAAGTACTGTTTTTTAATAACAAAGTTAAATATCGATTAACTGTGAACAAGAAAGGATACATCACTTGGCAAATAGTATTTAGGGTTACACAAAAGTAAATAAAAGTTTCAGTTAAGCTGAAACGTTTCAGATAGCTTGATGGGTGTTTAAACTGCTGCGGCGGGCGAACCGATTGCTACTGAAAACTCCTGAAAGGAATGCCGCCTCAAGTCGCCCTGGTTTGCGCGATTCATGCCGCGTGCCCGTTGTTTTGTATATACGATACGTCATCTTGTATTATTTATTATTATTCGTAAGAGAAACCCATATACAGTGTTTTTTTTAAATGGGACAGTATGGGGAAATCCGAAAGCATAGAAGGTACAAAGAAACTGTTTTAGGAAGCATTAAATCTTTTTTTGTGAAAACAATTTTGGCATAGTTAATTTTCGGTCAAGCGTGAGTTGTCCATTGGTCAAAATTATTTTATGTGAGAATCATTTCATTGTATCAGACGAAAAAATCGGAACAGCAGAAGTTGGTCAAATTTAATAAAATGATTTTTCATACAACATCCATAACATTTTATTAAATCAGGTATTTGAATAATTTTTTTAACACTAATTGATTTTTGGCTCAATTTCATTTTCAGATTCAAATTATAAAATAAAAATTAATTAAAAAAACCTGCTTTTCAGTACATGACTAAAAACGTTTTTCATCCCTGGACAGTTTTGATTTGTGTATTGTCTTAATTAGTAGTATATTCATTTGAAATACTAGTTATTAGAAGGTATTCTTTGATTTAATCAACTTTACAACTAGTAAATTTCTATTCTGAGGAAGAAATTCGTTCCCTTCTAACAAGGTCACATCCGCAAAATGTAACTTTTCAAGAGAGAGGTTTAAACGTTCTACGAGCGAAATAAGTCGATAACTTTTTTATCCTTAACCCGTCATGCCTTTAGAGACACACGGTATCCCTAACAGTTTTGGTACTGTAGCGTCCTAGAGCCAATCGGTGTTTTTCGACACGCCTGTCCATAACAGTTGCAGTACCACTCAGAGCTTTAAATCGCAAAGATCTGAGGGGCATTGCCTCTGCGCCCGAACCCTTAGACATAATTTGACAAGTCCCATGTGCCTGTAATTTCACCAGCACCTTTACCCTTCAAAACACAGTAATGCTGACATTACTGCTTGGCGGCAAAAATAGGTAAGGTGGCAGTACTTTCCTGGATTAACTCTTACACAAGGTTCTCTACTGCTACTAAAAAAAATACTAATAGATGAAAGCATTTTGTCGTATGATCCATATTACCAAGGTTACAAAATTGTGACCGAGTCGAGATTAAATTTGTAAACCCGAATTAGTAAATAATGTATGATGATTAATAAAGCAAAGTATAATTCTAGCTCTAGGGCTATATGTCCAAATAGTTGCTCAACCTATATCTCATGCGGTCTTTTATTGTTTCTCATCATCAACGCATTATGCATTAGTACACTGTAGGGTGTGGGTCATGTTTTAAATACACCTTTGGCGTAATTACTCACATGCCGCTGTATTGTTACTTAGCAATAGGGCCAGGTACCTAACTTATTCTGTTATACTTACGATTATGTAATGTTCTGTGTTATTATTGTAATTTTTAATGTACTATAATGTATATTACATTAATTCATTAGTTCGTTTTTTACCGGACTGAGTTTTAAATATTGAAGTCCATGTAAAAAATTATATTTTTTTCAGGAATCTTTATAGATATATGCATGGTTAGTTTACGGTAGTTTTAGAAAAAAATACACAAGAGAATTAAGGGATTATGGTCAGACCACTCTTTTTATTCTGTTCCTACAACGCAGCAAAGATCCTTGTGAAAGAGTTCGTCCAGGAAAGTGCTGACACCTTACCTATATCTGCCACCAAGCAATAATGTGAGCATTACTGCGTTCCAGTTTTGAAAGGTAAGGCTGCTGGAGAAATTACAGGCACATGGGACTTGTCAACTTACGTCTCAGGGTGACGGACGCAGTGGCAGTGCCCCTTCGATCTTTGCGTTTTAAAGCTCTGAGTACCGCCAAGCCTCGTTCATCCCGTCACTGGCATTATGAAATAAAAAAAATACACATAACATAGTGACAATGGTAACACCGCAAGAAATCGAGGTAATGGTAATCGTCGACGACTGAATGGAGTATACAGATATGTCCGTTATTAAAGCTGTCAATTGTCATTTGCCAGTCAATCCGCTACTTCATATATATGTTCCAATACTTATGAACCTTTACCAACGTCCAGGCATCAAAGCGATATTTTCCTTCATCGTTGTCAACTTAGACATTCAAATCATAGGTACTTGCCGCAACGGGGATTCGAACCATCGGTCTCTCAAACGCAACCATTCTCATCGCGCTTTTAAATATCGGGAGATTAATACACATCATTAAGAAACCAGTAACTACCAAAAGTGTTGAATGTTTATAAGAATTTAATTGCTTACTTGCGCAATATATTTATAATGATCCAAGATCCGACACAACGGCATTCAATTGTTGAAATATAATTATGAACACATGACAGTTACAAATAACTAAAGTATCATTCCCCGTTGAAGCCTGCGGTGAAGACATTTTTTTGACAGGCACCATAATAATAATAGTACCAGATAACCACAAGAAATACCTGGTCTCTAGAGTACCAGAACAACGGAATTCACGCAGGAGCTAATTAATAAAACTTCATTTCCAAATTGATCCCATGGGGATTCGAGCCCGAGACCTATTCATCCAGTACTCACAGTTCAAACAGTTGTGACACCGAGTTCGCCAAAAGAGTGGCAAATACTTCCACCAAAAAATAAGCTCAGCTATCCGAAGAATAAAACATTGGCAGCGTCCTGGACCAAGTGACCATGTTGTTCAATCATTTTTAAGTTTGAATTGTTTTGTTAATTATTAGGTTAATTAGTAAATTATTTTCTTTTATTTATTGCTATTTCAATAATTAATTTAAAATAAAATTATGTAGTTTACATAAGATGTCCGCTAGGTGGCGGTGGACCGTTTTCGTGTACTTTCTAAATCAAAATTGTGTTAACTGTCTAGTGATTTAACTTGCCATCGGAATATTCAATTGTTTTCATTTGGGTATTTTTGGGTCCCTGTAGGTACACCTACTAAAAAATAGTAAATTCATTTAAAAACTTGAAAATTATCGTCTAAATTGTAACAACGGAAACTCGTGATGAAAGCTGCCGTGGTATAAATGGATTTCGAATTAGGACGTGTAAACGGCATTCGTAAATGAAGGCATGCACTATGCAGTGCCTCAATGGAACATCAACTACAGCGTTCCTCGTTGTTACATACATGGCTATTACTTCTATTGTGGTTGTAGACTTGTAATACGATGAACTGTTTTGCAACTTGTAAATAATACCTATACATAATTTTAATTTTCTTTGTGTCTATTGATAAAAAACCAAATATTCATGTATAAAATGAGATTTTGAAAAAACGTCTCTTATTTGTTATGTAGAATAGACGCTTGGGCGCAATCTCATCGGACATTAAGGAGTCACCACACTGGTTTAATCGGAATTTGCTTAAGTCGGTCATAAAAATCTTTCTGGAAATGCAATAAGAGCGAAAAGGAAGTTATGCGTGAAGGGACGAACAAGTCGCCTGGAGGTAAGCGACGCGCCTGTTCTAAACAGTTACAGTGTCACTCAAAGCTTTAAATCACTGCCACTGGACTGGCACAGCGACCGTCACCCGCAGCCATAAGTTAACAAGTCCAATAAAATATGGAATAATATTCCCCCTCTCTTGCGAATCCTCTCCTCCACTCAGTCTTTTAAAGGTAAGGTAAAACAGTACTATCTAGAGCTCCAACTAAGCGGCTAGGTAAAAATAAATTTATTTCCACATAACTGAATCTAACTCCATACTCGTACAATGTAAACAAATGTAAATGAAGCAAGGATAATATTTAAATGTAACTTTCTGCATACTTTTCTATATGTTATAGCATAATAACGAAATATATATCAAATTTAAAACTAGTCACTCTTTCACTGTTAAATATTGATTTGGCAGTGGAGGAGTGATTTGGTTGTGGATTAGTAAATTAGTAGGTAACTAAATTTATAAAAAAGGTGTAGCTGCAGTGTTTCATATAGTCAATAATTAACTATGTAGCAAAGTCAAAGTCAAAGTCAAAGATGATTTATTCCATAGGTAAAATAAATTTACACTTGAAAACGTCACATTTAAGGTACTGCTCGTTCACTACGCTGACCTCCCTGAGAAGAACGAGCAAGAAACTCTAGGGATTGCTCTTTTCAAATAAACTTAAATGCTATGGAATACATTTTGAATCAAATTTGTGTGGATTCTGGAGCCATGTCGTCTTTCCATACATCTTTATCTAACACGTAGTCTTCAATTTTGTAATATGATTTTTCGATCAAAATATTTTTAATGTAGTTTTTAAACTTAGGAAATGATAAACTTAATATATGCTCCGGAATCTTATTGTAAAAACGTATACAGTTCTCCATAAAAGAGTTGTTTACCTTGGTTAAACGAAATCGTGGTACCATGAGTTTGGACTTAGCTCTAAGGTTAATATTATGGATATCTTCTTTCTTATTGAAATTATGTATATTTTTACGGGCATATAAAATATTTGAGTAAATGTACTGTGATGCCA